GCCAGTACCTGGACTGGGTGCTGCTGGCTCCTCTGAAGTCTCTTGAGCTCTGGGAAGTAGGGGTGTCCTGCCAGCCAGGAGTCCAGTCTGGGGAGAGGGCTTTGTCTCTGTCATGCCCAGGGAGCTGCCGAGCAGAGCCAGGCCCCTCTGTGGGGCAGCCGGGAGCTCATGAAGGGATGCCGAGCCCCAGGGGTGCTGCTCTTGGGGACCCCAGGAAGCCGTGCTCAGGGGCTGGAGCCCACCAGGACCCCCCCACCCAGCTGCACTCCCATGATTCCTCTCCAGCCCTTAAAACACCCATTGAGCTCCTTCCACGGGGTTGAGCACCTCGACGGAGGCAGCAATGTGGCAATGTTGACTTAACCTGGGTAAGAAGCTCTTGAGCTGCTGCCGCGGAAGGGGAGCAGGAGAGGAGCACGTTTTGTGCAACGAGACTGCATTTTCCTGGCAAGCCCTTTGCCGGCACGGATCCCACACCCCACCGAGCTCACCCTGCTCCACCCTGCCCCGTCCCCATCACCGCCGGCCGAACCGACCCTGCTGCCCAGAGGTGCGGGACGGGCAGCAGCTGCCAGGCTCCTGCTCCCCGCTGACACCTTGGCAATGGGCTTGGCCACCCACTGCATCCCACCCCACTCAAGTCCGTTCTAATTTGGGAAGGCACTGGGGCTTGGTGGAGCCAGCATCGGGGACTGGTGTTCCCCTCCCCGTGCACCCTGAAAGGCACTGTGGCCCCGGCACATCCTGCAGGGCTGAGGGGTTTTGGGGACGCGTTGCAGCAGAGCAGCCAGGCATGGGGTTGCTCAGCCCTGGGGGCTTTTCAGCAGTGTTTCCCAGTGAAGAATTTTAGGATTTAGCTTTGGATGGGGGGGGTAGGGGCAAAAAAATTTAGAAATTTGTTCCAAAAGCTGAGACACTCAACAGAAAACAAACCAACAGCAGATCGGCCAAAATCTCATTTATTTTCTGGGTGGGACGTTTTAATGGCCCTCAGAGGGGCCAGCTGACCCGCTTGTTCCTGTGTCGGGGGTTTGCTGCCGGCCGGGGTGGGAACGGAGGTCCCGCTTGCAGCCGGCACGACGCAGGAAAGCAGAGCACCGAAACACCTCCGCGCTGCTGCTTCCTTCTCACCGGCTCCCACGTGCACAGGAATGTGGCCGTGCTCGTTCCTAACTGGTCCTGTGCTGGGCGAAACCTCCCTCAGCTCCGTTTAAGGCTGGTTTTGCTCTAAAATCAGCAGCCAGCTCAGCTGTTCCAGCCCCATCCTGCAGCCTCTGCCAGCCCCGATGGCTTTAAATGTGTCATGTGGGATGTGGTGGCTCGAAGGACCGAGATCAGGGCATCCTCAAGCTGTGAGAAATCAATAAAATAAAACAAGTGCACTGCTCCCAAGCAGAGCTGAAGGACAGGAAAGCTCCTGCTCCAGCAGGGAAGTGGCTTTTTCTGCTGCACTTGCTGGTTTGAGCCCAAGTGCCATCAAGGGAGTTAAATATTGAACAAACGCGAAGCAAAAGCCAGCACCAGCAGCCAAGCAAAACAAAGGCTGAGCGAGGCCGGCGCTCTGACTCATTTGGCATGAAAATGCAGCATGGAATAAATTAAATTTGGCTCTTCCTCATCCTCCCAGTGCAGTACGGAGCAGAGGAGCCGCACTGTCACTGGCGCTGCAGCTAAGCTGGTGCGGTGGCTTTTGTGTGCTGGGGGTGCCAGGCTGGCAGCAGAACGCGGTGTCATCCGGAGCGGGCATCGAGGAGGGGTGGGTGGATGGACAGAGGGGGACAGACCTGCCTTGACAGGTCCCTATTCTGCATCCCCAGCCATGGCTTTCAGAAAGGCTCTAAGCACCATACAACAGGGCTGGTGGCATCAGGATTTGAAGATTGCCATGTGCTCGCTGCATCCAAGGCAGTGGCAGCTGCTCTTGGTCCTTGTTGTCTTGTCTCATGAAGGGATGGAAAGGGTAGGGGAGTCCTGGCTTTCCAAGGTGTCCCCTCCGCCTCCTGTCTGGCATGGTGCTGCCGCCCTGGGCACCTGTGCAGGAGCACCGATCTCATGGCAGCTCAGAGGTGACCTGGAGCCCCAAACCGTCACAGTGGTCCCGATGCTGAAGGGAGTCCTGCTGCCCGCAGGGAAGTGTCATCACTTGGGTCCCAGCCGGGATGTCTCAAGGCAGGGTCTGCCCTGGCACAGGCCCCCCAGAACCTATTGAGATGGAGAAAAAGGTCAAGGCTCCACAGCAGGCTTTGGCCCGTGATGTAAAGGCTGGGAATTTCCGGGGTGTAATGTTTGCATCTGTATAAATATGCAGATAGAGCACACCCACAGGGCAGCTGCCTCTGATGGGCGAGGGAGATAATGCTCCTCTTCCGCCAGCACGGAAACTCTCGGAGGAAAGGGCAAGGCAGCACCTCGCTCCCCAGCAAGTCTCCATGATTCACCCTACGAGCCTGCCTCGGGGGATGCTGCAACCCCCCCAGGGCTGTGGGCAAGGGGGGGACAATCTGTGGGGTGTCCCTGTGGGCTGCTGGCAGCTGGAAGGAGGGAGGTGGAAATGATGCTCCAGGGCACCGGGTGCCTTGGTGGAGCTGGACTGCTGGCACCAGGGCAGGATCAAGGTGGCCTCGCCATCCCCGCAGCCCCTGGGCGCTGTCCTGCCCTGGAGCGGGGTGACACCACTTTTGACAATCCCAACTGGTGAGACTGGGAGAGGCCAGCCCAGCCCTGAGCTGGCCGCAGCACCCCTGCACCCGCCTGCTCCCAGCGGTTTCGGCAAACCCTGCTGCCCGTCCTCTCCCAGTGGCAGAAACCGGTCCCAGGGCTCACGCCCAGCACCACCCAGCACCAGCTTGCGACAGCCCTGGGAGCAGGTGGCTCTCCCTGCACCGGCGTGGGGTGCTGGCACCCCTTGGCATGAGGGTTCCCAGGGCTGGGCAAGGTCGTGCACCCCAAATGCACCACGGGGTGCCCCTGTGGGCAGGGGTCTGGGCCAGGGATGCGATGCAGAAGGCAGGGTGTAAAGCAGAGCTGCACCCCCAAAGGCACGTGGGGATGAAGCCCCGGTGGTGGCAGCTGGCCAGGGCGGAGGACTGTGCCTCCTCAGGGGACCTGCTACCGGGCTGGGAGCTGGCAGGTGAAAAGGATTTTGGCACAGGCACATCCTGCACAGTCACTCGGAAACGATGCCGAGCGGGATCAGCCTTAATTCACCCCCTTCTCCCAGGCAGCTCGTTAGTGCCCGGGGAGCAGTGCCTGCGGGCTTACACCCCAGGCACGGGCGCATCCTCCTGGGCAGCTGCCGGGTGCCGCGGGGCGCTGCGCCCGCCTGCCCCAGGTCCATCCATGGCCTCCTCCCTCCTCTTTGTAGCAGCATGGGCCAGGGTGGCTGGGTTGACCCCAAGGACGGAGGTCTCCTCACTTGTTTCCTGCAGGTGCTCATGCCCTGGCTGGAGATGCCACCAGCCACCAGTGAGTGCCCAGCATCCTCCTGGGCAGCTGCCGGGTGCCGCGGGGCGCTGCGCCCGCCTGCCCCAGGTCCATCCATGGCCTCCTCCCTCCTCTTTGTAGCAGCATGGGCCAGGGTGGCTGGGTTGACCCCAAGGACGGAGGTCTCCTCACTTGTTTCCTGCAGGTGCTCATGCCCTGGCTGGAGATGCCACCAGCCACCAGTGAGTGCCCAGAGCCCCGCCAGGCTCAATGCCTGCGGGACGCCTCAGCTCGGGCAGCAGCGGCCGGGCAGGCAGGCTGCCACCAGCTCTACCGTTCAGTGTTCTCCCCAGTTAGTCCCCAAGTGTCCCAGTGTTACCTGGAGCTGGGGGAAGAAGCAGGCACAGGACCTGGCCACTGGTGGGACTGGTGGCTTTCTTGGGCCATGCGGGACAGGGACAGATGGATGGATTTTGTAATCCCAGGGACTCACCTAACCCCCGGGTCCCCTCCACCCCAGGCTGGTGCTGTGGGACCGTGCCTGACAGAGAGAGGGAGAAATAAAATACACATCAGGCAGTGGGTTGATGCTCACTTACATCTTTTCCATCACCCTGAATCAGGGATCCGTCTGCTCGTCCTGCTGTCAGTCCAGCCCACCCCCAGCTGGATACAGGGAAGCACGATGGGGCCAGTGGTGACCTCGCTGCTCCGAGATAACTCACATGGGTGAGACCCCCCTCCACTTCAAACAGCTTCCATCTGCTGGCTGGTGCTCACTCCCAGGGCTTTCCTAATAGTTTAAAGGATCACTTGGAAGCTGGGGTATGACCAGACGACCTTAAATAGGGGGGAAAAAAACCCACGCAAGAATTGTGCCCCAGATTATTTAAATATTTAGAAAATGCTGAAGCCCGCTGGGGAGGAGAGAAGCAGCGTGTGTGGCTGCAGCCCGGGCTCGGTGCAGGTCAGTGCCATCTGGCAATTGGCTTTCAATAGTTTGTGGTGGCAGGTTAACCATTGTTAATGATTATAACCATCATTAACAGCCACTGCAAGTACAAAGCGAGGAGGGGGCCTCACTGGTAGGGGGTGAAAGGGTCATCCTGCTAAAATAAATGCTCAGTTTATTGAACCAAGGGCCATGCTGGGCAGGGAGAACTGGACGCCTGCCCGGCTGTTGGCCACCCACCGGTGATGGGACACCTTTGCTGAGTGCCGCAGGGGTCCCGCGGTGGAGGTGCTCACCATGCTGTGCCTCGAGCAGCTCCGATCCTGGGAGGGGACCTGCCAGCTGGAATCAGCTGTACAGCAGCACCCCTGGGCAGCGGCACAGCCGCCCCGTGCCCAGCTGGCACTGCAGAACCGGAGACATCGGCGGGGTTTAGCCGGGGGGAGCCGGGAGAGGGGCGATCACATGCTTGCCCGCCCGGGATTAGATGT